AAAGTTATGTGAGGTCTATCTAGTGATGATCATGGATATGGAAGTTTGCAACTTGGAATATTAGAGAGATAAATTATAAAGAGCAGTTCATATTATACCCATTCTCTTTCTCTTAGTTCCATAGGCACTCCTTCCTTCCTTCCTTCCTTCCTTCCTTCCCTCCCTCCCTCCCTTGTAGGCATGGGCAAGAAACAGAAGCAACAGGAATTTCAAATATGCTCTGTACTGTAGAATAACAGAATCTTGAAAGCCTGTCAGAGTTTCTCTCTGCCCCATCTTATACTAAACAAAATCAAGGTGGGGTTATTTTGAGTTTCTTTCTCACACTTTCCTCTTTCCCAAAAGTGAGTTGCCTTTCTATCTCCTTAATGGTTCATTGTTCTCTTTCCCCTCCCCAAGGCCAGTTCCTACATTTTTTCACACTTTCTTTAATCAATTCATGCTCTTTATAATTTATCTCTCTAATATTCCAAGTTGCAAACTTCCATATCCATGATCATCACTAGATAGACCTCACATAACTTTCACCGCACATCTTGACTTTATTACACTTTTTACATACATACATACATACATACATACATACATACATACATACATACATTTTAGTACAGTAGAGAAGGTGTTACCAGCTTTAGTTGCACCCATGCTACATGCAGCATTTCCTGCTAATGGTAAGAACAGTATCAGTCAGTTTGGGCCAGTATGCCACAAGTGCAATCCAAGCCCAGTTTAACTCCAGCTATGTTCATGCTATTCTGTGCAAGCTAGGATCTCAGATGGGATTGTTGCCTTATTTGTTTTGTCATCTACTGTCCAGGTATAACTGTTTTTCTTATCTACCTTTTCCCTTGTAATCTAATCAGGAAATCTCGTATTGACTGCCATTGCAAGAATGAAAGAGTACATTTACCTTCTTGCCGTATTTTCACGGTGCTGGTGACTTTGATTCTCTCTCCATTATGAAACCATTCACCTTTCACCTCCACCAGAGACACCTCACACATGAAAACAGCATTCTCATTCTCCCGTACACAGACGTCCTCCAGCTCTCGCACAATCTGGACCTGACGTTCTATGGGGGAAGAAAGCCCATGTAGTTAGGATTGAAGAGTTTTTCCACAAGTGATATTTGGACCCATGTGGATCCCCCGAAAGGACTACAGGTAGTCCTCACTTAATGACTGTTTGTTTAACTACGGTTCAAAGTTACGATAGCCTTGGAAAGGGTGCTTTATGGCCCATACACAGAGGGGAGGGGTACCCCTCAGCAGTCTGCAGGAACAGAGTTCAAATCCTGAAGATTTGAGCTCTGTTCCTGCAACCCGCAGAAGATTTTTTTGTGCACAGAGGGGAGGGGAAACCCTCGGCAGGCTGCAGGAACATTTGAAAGTGAAAGGGCTGCCTGCCAGGAGGATTTCAGTTCTGCACAGAGCTGAAATCCTTCAGCAGGTAGCTCTTTTGTTCTGTCCACTTAACAACCCAGGAGATCACTTAACAACCGTAACCGGGACTGCCTGGATTGCAGTCATTGAGCAAAACAGTCACGTAGGCGTATCGCTTAACAACCACTTTGCTCAATGATTGAGGTTTTGGTCCCAATTGTGGTCGTTAAGCAAGGACTACCTGTAAATTAAAACTCTACCCTTGATCTCCTTCAGCTGTGACTAGAACAAACAGATGTCATCTATGCAAAATATATCACAAGTCATGATTTCATGAGAAACAGTAAAGACATTCTTTAAGATTGTAGAAGCTACCAACTGTAATCTAGTCACAAGAACATATCAAGAACTCTGCTGGATCAAGGATAAAGTAATATGAGAACAATTTACCCTTCCAGACACCAGAACATAGAGTTCAAAGTGGCTGTTTTACAGTAAAGAAACTACAGTACACCTTTGCCACCATTACTGAGTGAGAGGCTGCAAAACTCACATTCATCAAAAGGTTATCTCAGAAGACCTTATCAAACACAATGGGTTTTTAACACATTACAGTTGCTAATTGATGAGGTACTTGTAATCTTTCTCACATATAACTTGCATCTTCCTACCCAATCTTTCTTCATTCAAAATCCTATAAGGATGCTTAAATCCTTCATCAGTTTAACAACCAGGCCATGCATCTGATGAAGTGAGCTGCAGTTCACAAAAGCTATGCTTTTTATTAAAATTTGTTAGTGGGAAAAAGTGCTGTCAGACTCCTCCTGATTTTGGGCTACTATGGATTAACATAGCTCTCCTTCTATAATGCCTGCTGGATCAAGGGAATCATTCATCTATTGCTCCATCCTGGTTTTCCTACTTTTAGGAAGCCCCAAGCAGGACAGGAGAAAAACAGCTCCTTAGTAACAGTGCTGTCCAGCAACAGGTATTCAGTCAGAGTGGAAATGCTCTATGTCAGTGTTTCTCAACCTTGGCAGCTTTCAGATGGATGGACTTTAACTCCCAT